CTAATAAATAGTAATTTTTACTAATTTATTTGTGAAATTTACTAATTCTAAAGCAATAAGTCCAATTCAAATTAGCAAACATTTTTGCTAATTCAAATTTAAAGAGTTTGAAATAATTTAATAAATATTCACTATTTGAATCAGTAACTGACTTTTAAATCAGTAAAAATTTACTGATTTTTCAGATTTTCAGATTTCAAATTTATACGCTTCCTAAATCTAAATCAGTTAAAATTCATAGCAAAATTTCAAATATTTTCAAAAATTTTTCTTAGTTCAATAGTTTGTATATCAATTATTTTAATAGAAATTCCCAAAAGAATTCAATTATTTAAAAACAATTTTAACTTCTTGCTGTCTTTTTTAAATAAAATTAACAATTTTAAAAATAATAGAATTTAAAAATTTTCTAATTTAAATTCTTGGTTAAAACACTAAAAAAATTCAATTTTTGAGAAATTACAAATAATTGCAGAAATTAAATTATTTAAAAAAAAAATTCTTATAAAATTTATCTATGTTCAAAGTTTGAAAAAAATTCTCGTAAAAATCCCAATTATCTTTATAAATAACAAAATTCTTCTCCAAAGTTCAATTATTTTCAATAAATGTCAAAAAAATTCTTGTCCTAATTTCAATTATTTTCAAAAATTTTTCTAATTTCAATGATTTTCAATATCTACTATTTTTAATAAAATTTCCCAAAAAGAATTCAATTATTTAAAAAAAAATATTAATAAAATTGTATGCAAACATTTAATTATTTTCATAAATAATAAAAATTTTACAGGAATTCAATTATTTTCATAAATAATAAAATTTTTTGAAGGAATTCAATTATTTTTATAAAAAATAATTTAAAATTATAGAAAATAATAATTGAATTAAAATGATGAAAATAATTTTCATGAAGTTACAGTAGCAATATTCTTATAATATAAAATAATGATTTTATTACTTTGCTCATCTTTAATTATTATAAGTTGTTTAATTTAAAAAAAGGTTTGAATTTGAAACTTTTAAATCTTTACACAATTTTCACTAAACTTTGCAAGTAAATTTTTCGAAGTTTGCAACTAAATCTTTAATAAATTTTTAGGAAAGTTTCGTTGCTGTGTGGGTGGTACTTTTTTTTAATTGAATCGTGAATTTCGAAATTTTATTTTTTTTGAATTTTTTTCTTTATCACATATTCATTGACGTTTTCTCAAAAGAAAAATTTATTCGGAGTTAATTTTAGTGTAAAAAAAGGTATTAAAGTGTTTTCCATTTGACTTATAACCTAAGATTGTTTTCTAACCTAATGTTGAATTGTTTTTGGGTTAAAAAAAAATTTTATACATTTTGAAATTAAATAAAAAAGATTTTTTCATGAATTTCGAAAAGGGCTGAACATTGACAAGTATAATATAAATTTTCTCCAACTCACTGTTATTCAGGAAAATACTTTTAAAAAGCTTTTAAAAGCTGGACTGTTTTAATTAAAGCTGTTTGAAATAAATAGTTTTTTGTGTCTCTTGTAAAATTTAAAAAAACCCTTTTCGAAATTCACGATTCAATTATTATCTTTATTTATTTTATTTAATATTAATGTAATGAAAATTAGTTCAAAAATTGTTTCCATAGTGTTTTTCTATAGTTGTCGAAAACTTTAGCTTTAGGAATTTGTTATTTTTCTAATTATTTATTTTTTTTTACCTCATTTATTGCTATTTTTCTAATTATTGTTTTCATTTTAGTCAGTCGAATAATAAAATAATAAAAGAATGTTGTAGTAGCAGTGTTTGTTCAGTATTGTTGTAAAAATTAAGAATATAGTTGCAGCTTAATTTTTTCGTAAAAAATAAAAAAAAATTGTAGTTGCAGAGTTATTTTCGTATTTGTTGAAAAATTAAGGAATGCGGCATCTAAAAATTCTATTATATTTTTAATTTCGCGGGACGTTAATTTGAATAAAAGAGAGTGTCATGTTGTACCCTTTTCTTCTTGGTTGAAATAGGATTTAGCGGCAAGTTCATCAGGGTTGATTGAGGCTTCAGACTTTCAGTTCGTCTCGGGAATTAAACAGAGTTGCTTGGCACGTGACTCGCATCTTTGAATTCACAAGCATATGTCTTTCTAGTAGCATAACTTATATTTTCTTCCTAGCTTGATTTCATACCAAAGAGAAAGAGAGTGTGAGAGAGACAAATTTCTACATTAATGTTGCGACGTGTCTCTACAAAATCTCAGAGTTTCGACAAAAGATGAACCACTCCATTTTTGTAGAACACGTGTGAAAATCTATTCATTAAATCTTCCAAATTGGTATTACATATACCTTTTTAATTTTTTTCTTTCACGAGATTGGAAAAACGAAAAAAAGAAAATATTTTCATATTTAAAATTTTAGTATCTGCAAAATTTCAGGTGTGTTTTGTAGCAATCGATTTAATTTCATTGTTTGGATTATTCCCTCTCTCTGGAGGTTATTGGCTGAAAAAAAGAAAGAATGAAAAAAAACAATGGAATAACGTGGGAATCGTAAACTCTTTTTTATCAGCGAATTGCAGGTCAGTCGACATGTGTCAGAAAGTAGGTCGAATCCCAGAAGGTGTCTAATCTATACCTATAGACTCTCAGAGAGAGAGAGAGAGATTTCCATTTGTTCAGAATATGAATGGACGGGAATATGATAGGGGCTGATCGATGATGACAGAGCGATTGACTATGCGGTTTGAGTGTCATTTACCAATCTATATATAAACCCTCCCTCAAACCTCCGTACTTTTGTGCTTTTTAAAATTTCTCCTGCAAAACTGAATATAGTAAAGTTTTATACATTGACATTGTGACATAGAATTACTTCACGTATTTACTGAAAAATTACAAGACTTTAATCTTGTTCTTGTAGAATTTACAATAGACAAAAAACAATAAATCTCGCGTACACTAACTCTGAATTTTTAAACAGTGCTGAAGCTCTCTAAAGCTCTTCCAAATAATGCAACAAAATTCCTCTTTTTTTGGATATAAAATTCAATTTATTTTGATTTTTATAGCGTGAAAAATAACTGCAGTGAAGTCTTTGAAGGTTTTTAATAATTTTTTCAAGTTAATTAAGTTTTTGAAATTTTTAAACTAAAATTTGTGTAAATAATTGAAATTAAAAATTTTATTGAAAATTATTATTTTTAAAATACTTTGTTACAATTTTTGAAAATCAAATATAGAATTTTAATAGCAAATTTTCAAAGTAATTAAATTCTTAAAATTTTTAACGAAAAATCTTCAAATGAGAATTAGCTTAAAAAAGTAATGTAAAAATTTTTTTTTTTAAATAATTCATAAATTTTTGTTATTATAATCCTTTTGAATTCAATTATTTTAAATATTTCCAATTACATATTTCTGAAGATTGAAATATCTATAATGAAAAATTATATACGTCTATTAAAATTTGGTGTAAAAAAAATATTTCTTTATAGACTTTTTCATTGTAATTTTTTTAAATTCAATTATTTTAAAAATTTTCAACTACATATTTCTGAAAACTAATGTCTATAAAAAAATAATCATATTAAAAGTTTTTAAATAGTCTAAATTTTTAAATATTATTAAAATTTTGGAGTCATCAATCAATTTAAAAAATTTTAAATGAAATTCTTCGTAAAATTAAATCCTTTTAAATTATTCACAAATTCATTTAAGAAATTCAATTATTTTCGAAAAATTAATTAAAATTATGTTTTACAACCTAATTTTAATAACTTTTCACAATTTAATTGTTAAAAATTAAATTATTTTCAATATTTTTATTGACATTCGAAAATTTAAATATCTACAAAAAATAATTACATTAAAGAAAATCAAATTTTTTAGAATTATTAAAATTTTTCAGAAATCAATCATTCTCAATAATTTAAAAAAAATTCCTTCAAAAAGTTAATAACTTTTTTATATTGCCCACGAATTTATTTAAAAATTCAATTATTTTCAAAAAATTGTCGTAGATCTTTTGGAAAATTAATATATAAATAATAATTGATTTAGAGAAGAAGTTTTGTTCAAAATTCTAAAAAATCATTAAATTTTGGAAGGGTTATTACAAAATTTTTTGTTATGTAATTTTTTAGAATTATTAAAGTTTAAGAGAAAATAATTATGTTCTTAATTTTCAAATATAATTCTTCCAAAAATATATTATTTTTTTTAAATTGTCAACAAATTACTTAAAAAAGTGGAATTATTTTCGAAAAGTTATATTACAATATTTTTAAAAAACTTTCTCAGAATAAATTTTTTTTAAATAAAATTCTTCAAGAACTTGATTTTTTAAAAATATTTTTTAAAATTTCTTTTAAAAAAATCAATTATTTTTCAGAAACTTCACTAAATTTCAATTATTTGGAAATTTTTATATAAGTAAAAAATCATTTAACTTTCAAAAATTAATAAAAAATATTTAAAATTAAATTCTGAAAGGGGGTAGAGTTGTAATTTTGGAAAATAATCTAATTAAAGAAGGTTTAAAATTGAAATTTAAAAAATTTTAATGCCCGTGGAAAAATATATTACAAGTTTTAAATTATTTATATGTATGAAAAGTATTGAAGTTTTGAATAATTGAATTTAGAAATCAGTGAAAGGTCAGGGAAATAAAAAATTAAATATTTGTGACAATATTGAATAAAGCAAAGTGCATTTTAAGTGCGTGTTAAAGTCGATTGGTGACCTAATTTGATTTTGCTCAAAAACTCTTATTTTTAATGATCATCCTAAAGTTCTAAAGGTTCAAATGAACAGAATTTATTTATTTCTTCATCAAATAAAAATTTTTATTACATAATATAGTATTGCCTCTATTTAAAAAAATGAATTGTAAATTTTCAAATATTAAATATTTTATTATTAATTTATTATTTTACATATTCTCATCGCAAATGAGAAATAATTGGATTTGTACTTTTTTCTTTAAATTTAGTATTTCGGGTTGAAATATATAATATGATATGATAAAATTTCGAATTATACATATTTATTGAAACGAAATATACAATTAGTAATAAATTAATTTATAATTGATTGCTTTAAACATTGAGAGATAATTTACATGGTCGTTATTTATACGAAAACAGTATATATTCAGTTTTTAAATATTAATAAAAATGCTGATGATTTTTGTCTATATAAAACTTTAACCTAATTAAAATAATTAGTTATTTTGTAAAATTCTATAGAATATCCGATTGAAATTCCAATTATAATTGTTTAATAATTCCATTGTAAATCAAGACTAAAAGCAATCCTCTGAATATATGTATTTAACATTAAATATTCACAATATTCACACTGATTTTAACAATCCAATAATTATTAATGAGAGACTGAAATTGCTGTATTGAGAAAGGAAAAATTTTTCATTATTGTATTCTTTTTGTGGAAAATCTTTTTTTTTTATATTTCTCGTTTTTCGAACATTGCGAACTTTGTTCTTATTATCTGAATTTTATATTTCAATTATTTACATTTTGAGCTGATTGTAAACTTTAATCTTTGTCTAATTACTCTATGTTTGCTGTCTGGACGAAACTTGTTTTTTGTTCAGAGAGAAATATTATCAGTCAATTTTGTGTGATTAATTTTTACAACTTGTGCATTGTAAAGCAGTCGGGAAATATTTTTGTTTTTAAAAATTAATTTCTTAAAAAATTTACGGCTAATTATGCTAGTAAGGAATCATCTCGATCCTTCACGTTTAATTGAAGTGGAGATCCCAATGTGTTTATAAAACGACTTCTTATCGACATTGGTTCATGATTCCAGTCCATTTGAAAATTGCGAACCATCTGTAAATCGATTCATTGATTAGTTTAGCTAAGAATTCTTTTCTCTAATTGTTCCTAGAACATTTTTAAATTAAAAATTTTTATTTTTCATTTGTGGATTTATTGTTATTATTCCTATTTTTTTAAATAATGTTCTGCTTTGCATTTTTAATTTGTATTTTTAATTACTGTACAATACCTTCATTACGAGAGTTGTCATTTCAAGTTCGGCAAAACGTCTCCCAATGCAGGTTCGAGGTCCAAAGCCAAAGGGCATGTATGCAAATGGATGTGCATTTGAGGATGAAAGTGGTCCAGTATTGCTTCTCAACCATCGTTCAGGTATAAATTCTTCTTCTTGTGGAAAATATTCTGACTTTCGTGATATAATTGAGTGGGCACCAACAACGTGTACATCCTTTGGTATTTTATAACCCCCAATTACCACATCATTCACCATAGTTCTCATATTGCCAAATGCAACTGGTGAAAGTCGTAAACTTTCTTTGATACAAGCCTTAAGGTATGGCACCTGATTTAACGAGTCATATGTAACTGGAGAATCCTTTTTTGTCAATACCGAATCTATCTCAGCTTGCAATTTCTTTTGCACCTCAGGATATCTCGAAATAAAATAAAGCGTCCATCCTGCTGAATTTGATGTCTGAAAATTTATTTTTGTTAGTTGATTATACTAAAAGTAATTTACTTAGGTACATAATTTAACAGCGTAGTTCTGGGCTATTTTTTTAAATAGTTTTTTTATTATGACGAAGAGTAAATGCTTTTTTCTTGAGGCGTGGCTAAAAAGGCTAGGCCTAAAGTCATTTTAGATTTTTTCCTAATACAAGTGGCTTTAAATCTTTTTGTTTGCAACTTTCCTTAAATAATAATAAATTTATCGTACAGATTCTTTTTTTGGTAATTAATTAAATTAACAAACAAACCGTGTCAATTCCAGCAACAAGCATATCCATTGCCATAACTTTAGCCGTTTGTTCATCAATTTTCAGCAGTCGTTGCAGCATACTTTCGTCATTTTGATTTTGATTTAATCTTTCTTTCGCTTTGTTGATATATTTAGCAGATGTTCTAAAACAAATTATGAATAAAATTTAAATGAAACGGAATGATTAATTTTTGATGTAGTAAATTTTGCTTTTGATTGCGAACATACCCATATAGTACGTCTAAAACTTTGAAAAATTGTTTAAGCTTCTTTGTTGTGTAGAATTTCCATGGTGATGGTAGTACTTCCAATTCATACATGAGATCAAACATATCGTGAACCGCATTGATCATTTGTTGCGGTTCGGACTGTGGATCTAAATTACTTTCCAAACTTCCCATTCGATGGTCCAACGCAATGGCACAAATTGCTGTGGATGTTAAATTGCCATTAACCAGTATATAGTTGTTTATTTTCAGTAAATAGTAATTGCTATTTATTCTAGTAAAATTTCAGAATTAATATTATTTTAATCTCTATTTCAAGCATACTTTACAATTTTTGAAGTTAATTTTTCTACGCTCGAAGTAGATTTTATTAATTTTTGCAAAAATGTACTATGAACGTAGTAACTTTTTCTTTTGTAAATAGTAAAAGTTGACAGTAATGTCAGAGCATTTTTTTTTTGTATCTGATTTTAATTTGAGAAAAAAGTGGGTAAAAGTGAGTTCGTATTAGTGGATTCGCAAAGTAAAATTTCGTGATATTTCTTCCATGAAAACTTACATTCCAGGGCCCATTTATTCATTTCATTGTTGAAAGTCGCAGGAAGCTCTAACGTTTTAGAATCTCTGAGTTGTCTTATCCTTTTAATGAAATCATTAGAAACTTGGTCGATTTGAGACACATGTGGCTTAATTGTTCGTGGTTGCATCATGGCTTGATTAACTTTTGAACGAAAATCGTACCACTCATCGCCTTGACTGTAAAAATTAATTATTCATTTAATTGCCTAGTATATAAACTGAAATTCCTTTCTCAAGCAAAAAGAAAATGTTATTTTAAGTTGCAATTTGAAGCGCACAATTTTCCAAGCAGATTCTTTAGAAAACAATTTTTCTTTTCTTTCGAACCATACTGAATTCAAAACTTAATTTAAATATTGAATTTCACGCTCGGTGGTATTTTACTAAAACAGTTTTGACTCAATTAATTAATATAAATTCAGGTCGCGGACTCTAAGACTAGAAAAATTGGAGACAGTAAAATATCGCAAATAGTAAATTAAAAATTAAAATCCATTTATATTAATTACCAAACTAATTGATTATACTTAAATTGATTATTATAAATAATTGTAGAATTGCTAATATTGACGAACTAATTGATCTTGAGATTCAATATGGAGATGCTTCTCTCCACCTGCGAACGTCAAGGTCACCGCTAGATGTCAGTTCAGTTAATAAAATCACATTCCTCGCCACCTGTTGGCGACCTTGGCGTTCTCAAGTGGAAAAATAACATTTTTTTCCTCAAAAAATTTTTTATTTCTAAACTTAGTCCGAGGCTTGGCAAATTTTAATTTAATTTTAGTTTAATTTTTAATAATTTTTAATTTTAAAAATATAAAACTAATGAAATGAGATTGAAAACTAATGTTTGAACAATATAACCTCGTAGCTAAACCGGGTTTTTGAAAAATGTGTTTGTTAGCTTGTCGATAGTAATGCAAAGCTTCCATTGATTCTCTTCTTGGTTGTCGAGTTTCCAAACGGTACATTCTCTCACAATATTCGGGTTTAAATAAAATAACCATTGGTTTTCGAAAAAGTAAACCTTCGAGTTTAACCACATCGCCATAGTTTTCGTTAAGGTAAATCATTTGCTCGACGAGTGGAACATTATGAAATTCACCTGGAATTTTTAAAAATTTATTTATATTTAATTAAAAATTAAAAATAACATTATTTTTCAATCCATAATAGTAATTTTTTAAAATAAGCAGTCAATTTGCAATAAATAAAAAAAATTTCGATAAATTAAATTTCTCAACAAAGTAAAGTTATTTTTAAAAAAATATATTTAAATTATTAAATAAAACCATCGATAATTGGAATTTTATCTATGTCTTAGATTCAGGTTATCGAGAGTTACTGTACTTAAATTTAAACAGAAAAAATATTTTCTTCGTACGTATGCTCAAAATTTTTGTGAAATTAATTACACACAATTTCTGAATGTTCAAACGAACGTAAACTTTTGTTGATAGAAATATTTTCAAAAATTACTTATTTTAATAATAAATTAAAAACTAATTAAATATTTAGAAATGTTATTTTATTTATTGATGGTACTTAATACATAATAAAATTTTTTTATTTGAAGTGGAAATAATTAAATTTTATTCATTTCAACGTTGGGAAGTTTGAGAATATTAAAATTATTTATATAATAATAATTTATTAAAATATTTTTAAAAAATTAAATTATATGTATAATAGTATTTATAAATATTATCAATAATCAGCAAATAATGAAACTTCAACGCACCAACGTATGGAAAGAATCTATGAATATTTCCAATAAGAGGCAAAGGTTTCGGTCCTGGTATTTCCTCAAAAGATCGAATCATCCGGCTTTTGTCACTTATTACCTCATTATTAATTATTTTCGCTTTAGTTATCAATGAATTATTTCTCACTCCCACGCTGGACAATTGTCTTAAATTTTTTAGCACACTTTGACAATGCATTTTCATTAAAATAGTAAAATGTAATTTAAAATTATTAATTTAAAATTATTTTATTTTGATTAAAAATTATTAATTTTAAAATTATTTTATTTTGATTAAAAATTTATAAAAATATTATCATAATATAGTCATTTGAATATTGATTTTTTCCAAATACATTTTTAATTGTCTTGTGTGTAAAATAAAAATTGCCTTCCTGTAAAAGAATAAATTACCTTTTATCAAAAGTTGTCTTTGTTAAAATAATAGAAATTTATCTCGATTTTATTCTATATTTGTAAACATAGCGAAAATAGTGAATGAAATTTATGTGTATAGTATTAGGTACATTAGCACTCGTTCGGCCTTGTCATAGTAAATGAACTTTAATTTCTACGATATTAAGTCACTTTATAGCCTTGCGAGTGTACTTCCTGATTTATAGTTCTTTTTTTTTATTTCTAGGATAAAAAATTTTCTTTTGTGAATAATTTTTTTGAATATACTGAATTTTTTAATTTACTGAATATTTTTATTGGTATTGAAAAATTTTCTAAATCATTTGTTAAGCAATTGATAGAAATTGATAAATTATTTTTCTAATTGAAGTAATTTTTTAGATTTTTTTAGAAAACCTTACAGTTTAATTTAATTATTATTAATTAATTTATAATTAATTCTTAATCAATTATTTAATTATTAATAAAAAATTAATAATTCAATTATTATTAATTAATTTTATTATTTTATTTTTATCTTGATTTATAAAAAAATAAATAGTTGATTGTTATTATTAATTGATTGATTGATAAATTATTTAATTGTCAATACAGAATTAATATTTCAATTAGTCTTAATTGATAATTATTTATTAATGAATTATTTAATTTATTAATAAGGAATTGATAATTCAAGTTGTTTTTGTTCGTTTTTCTTTATATTAATATCGTCAAAAAAATGTTGAAACCAAGAGTCATTTCATTTACGACTGTAATTAATTTTTCAATTTTTCATTTTTCCTATTTTTCTAATGATTTTTATGATCCTCTATTGCTCAAATTGAGAGTCATTAAATTAATATTTACATATATTGCAAACACGTGGAGTAAAACTGGTTATTGAAGATTCATTCATTAACTTTTTTTTTGTTGTTTTCGTCAATGTAAAAATGTTACTAAAAATTAGAAAGAAGTAATTTTTTCCCTACGGACTAAAAATACAAATTTAGAAAGAAATCGAAATAAATTACAATTTTATAATTAAAATTTGGTGTAATAAATAAATATTAACAAAATAATGGATGGATTTTTTATTAAATTTAAAATCGCAAAATAATTAAAATAAATTTTCTGTAGGCATTTAAATTTAATATTGATTAATTAATAATAATTAATAATTGATTGATTAATAAAAATAAACTAATAATTATCTATCAACTATGGGTAATAATTGTCAATTAGTTGAATAATTAATAATAATTGATTATCAATTAGTTAATAATTAGTAACAAATAATTACCAATTGGTTAATAATTAATAAAAAATAATGATAAATTAGTTTAATAATTAATGACAATAATTATTTAATTAATTAATAAATAAATAATAAAATTAAATATTTAAACAATTATATATTTTTGAATAATAAAAAAAAAAAATTCTGGGTCTTCTCATTATTATGTGAATATAATTTAAGAATAATGAAATGCATATAAAATGATATAATAATTTATATTAATATTAATTTATTATATAAAAAGAGAACAAAACTATTTTAATTAAAATTAATTGAAGCGTTCTGGTATTTACCCTTAATTTTGAATATTAATATCCAATCAATGTGCCTTGTACATGGGTATTCCTTGGAGAGAATTTACTGCATATCTGCTATTACGATCATTATTAATCAACAAATCATTGTTACTTGCGCGACGTATTCAACTATCACTTGTAAATTGATTTCTGATTTACTTTCACAATATTAGTTTAGTTTTATAGTTGAATGTCAATTGGTTCTAACAATACTGCGAGTTTCGTTGAAAATTCTTTTTGCCCGCGAACATTTGCTTTTAGAGTGTGTTTCAATTGCTTTATTGCACGCGCGCACGTACTGAGTCATGACAAGATTAATCATAAGTGTTAGAGAACCTGTTTTTCACAAAATAATTACAACAAATCTCGTTTCATTTACGTCAAAATGCGGAAGTATTTTTGCGTGAAAATTCTCGGCATTCCATTTATATATATTTATAATTGTGAATTGGAATTTTAATTTTATTTCGTGTTGTTTGATGTAATTATATATTGTTTGCATTGAATTCCAATATAGGTGAAAAGTTTTGAACGTTCAAATAAACGAAATTTTTTTTCTATTCTAAAAATTAAAATATATAATAATAATAATAATAAAAAATAATAATAAATAATAATAATAATAATAAATAAATGTTAATTAAACATTTGTTCAGTTAACAATTTTTTTTTAAACAAAAAATAATTTTTATAATGAAATACAAATTAAAAGAATTAACAAATAAAATACTCTTTAAATTTGAATTACTAATTCACATTAGTAAAAATTTCTACTAATTTTAATAAGTTTTCAGTGAAACTTTGGTAAACAAAAATTTTTAGTTACTAACTGCCTCGTAAACTTTGAAATTACAACGAATTTTAATACAAAACATTCAATTTTTTCTATAACTTACAATAATTTATTTTCAAATAACTTAATTTTTAAAGAACTATCATAAAATTATGACTCATAAATTATTTAATAAATAATTTTTACAATTTTCATAAATAGGGGAACATAGTCTAGGTCGGCCACCTTTTTGACTTTTGTTTATAACTTTTTTTTAAAAATAAATTTGGACAATTGAAGTATATGGTTGGAAAGTCCTGTTTAATAGGAACATTTTTTCTGTACAAAGTAAATTGACAGGTTTAAAAATGAAAAAGTTATAAAGATTTAAAAAAAAAAAAATTTGTAGTCCAGGTTGGCCATTACAGTCAAGGTCGGCCATGTTTAAAATTCAAAGGGCATTAATCGTTAAAAAATAAAATAACATGTTTGGAGTTACGGAAAATTGATTCTTTATTGTTTACAGTTTGTAACTTAATGAAATAACAAAATAATAAAAATAAACAATATAAAAAAATAAATATAAATAAAAAAAAATTTTGCACTAAAATATTAATAAAATTAAATGAAACTATTAATAAGATGATCAATTATATTATGAGTTATACAGAATTGCAGTTTTTGCAAATGAAGTAGCTCGTCCTCATCTTTGCGCATTTTAAACACATAGTGGCCGACCTTGACAGTAAGTAACATTACCGAATTGTTGTAACCATAAAGAAATACGTTTCGGGATTCGATTTTTTACTTTGTTTTCCTTTCAACCATGAGTCCCACAAATTTTCTGCATACTTGCCTTGACGATTCAATTTGTTTTTTATCTTTTATTAATGGTTTTTCACATTATGCACAAAACTTTTTTTGAGCTTTTTTTGTACCGACGTCACAGAAAACACAATTTTAGATTTTCCGAAAATGTAATTGAACAAAAAGTTAGGTTTCACTAAGACAAGCTTCGACAAAAATGCGCGTAGGTGGCGCTAGTGAACTTGACAAAAAAACGCGAGTGGCCTACCTAGACAGTAGGCCAACCTTGACTACATTCCCCTACTAGATTGACAGAAAAATTTTAGTTAAAAGTACTTAAAAAAATTGAATTTTGGAAAGGTTATAAATGATTCCAGAAATTCAATTATTTTCAAAAGTTACAGAAATTCTTCGCAGAATTTCAATTATGTTCAAAAAAAATTTTTTTTTAAATTCTCGTCAAAGTTTCAATTATCTTTATAAATAATAAAATTCTTCTTCGAAATTGAATTATTTTTTAAAATTTTAATAAAATTCTTGGAAAATTTTTACAGGAATTCAATTATTTACAAAGATTTTAATAAATTTCTTTGGAATAATTAAATTATTTTCATAAGTAATAAAATTTTCACAGGAATTCAATTATTTAAAATACAAAGTTTCATAAAATATTTTGAAAAATATTAATTATTTAAAAAGATTTTTATAAAATTTATCGCAAGAATTCAATTTTTTTAAAAAAATTAAACAAAGCTCTTTTCAAGAATTTAATTATTTTTATAAATAAGAAAATTCTTCATTGAAATTCAATTATTTTAATAAACTCGAATAAAATTCGTTGCAAGAATTCAATTATTTATATAAATAATAAAATTCTTCACAGAAATTGAGTTATTTTTATAAACTTGAATAAAATTCGTTGGAAGAATTAAATTATTTTCAAAAGTAATAAAATTATTCGCAAACATACAATTAAGTTTAAAAATTGAAAAAAAATTCTTATCAAAATTTCAATTATTATCTTTATAAATAATAAAATTCTTCTCCAAAATTAAATTATTTTAGAAAATTTTAATAAAATTCTTGGGAAAATTTGAATTATTTTCATAAATAATAAAACTCATCGCAGGATTTTATTTATTTTTGATACAATTTTAATCGAATTCCTCGAAAAATGTAATTGTTCTTAAAAATTTTATTAAAATTCGTCAAAAGAATTCAATTATTTAAAAATTTGTTGATAAAACTCTTTATGAGAATTCAGTTTTAACAAACATTAAATTATTGAATAAATTATTTATTTTTTAATTTGAATAATTGAATTCTCCTAGAATTTTCTAATAAAAATTGATTTAAAAATGAATTACCGAATAATCGATTTATTATTTATAAAGATAATTGAATTCTTGCAACGAATTTTATTAGATTTTTTTTAAATGATTAAATTTTTTTGAGAAATTTTACTACTTGTAAAAATAATTGAATTTGGCAAAGGACTTTATTAGAATTTTTGTAAATAATTAATTTTTTTTGAAAAATTTTACTACTTATAAAAATAATTGAATTCTGTCGAAGAATTTTATTAGGATTTTTGTAAATAATTAATTTTTTTTGAAAAACTAAAAATAGTTGAAATCATCATGATTTAGCTTCGTATGAAATAAATTAGAAAATTAAAAAACAAAAAATAAAATTTAACTAAATTAAAAATATTTTATTATAGTTTTTTTTGTTAAACAAATTATTGG